AGGTGGGCGGCGCACGGGCTGGTCGTTGTTCTGGTCGGGAAGGGGACCATCCCCGTGGTTAAGAACATGGCCGGCGTGGGGGGGGGGCAGAAGATGAACAGCAGCTTCGACAGGTGGGGGGGGTGATGCGGTGTACATGTAGAGGAAGGGTGCGCCGGGAGAAAGACGCGAGCGGATGGCCAGAGAAAAGTAACAAGTCAATAACGTGTAAGGCTAGGATGGGTGTCCCAAGACGAGAAGTGTGAAGAGACTCTTGTCTTAAGGGCTTCCGCTTTGTGTTTGACGCGACCGGATCCCAAGAACCCAGTTGTTTTCTCGGCATTGCCGCTATCCCTCGACCCTTCGATTGTGGTCTTTCTTGCTTGGTTGCCTGTCCGTCCCTCGGTCTATCTGTTTACTTGTCGGTATCTTTCGCTCCACGTCCACGTCGACATGCTGCTTCTCTTTTCCCCCACTTTCCTTGCGTACGTCACCAATCCCGCGTACCTCTTCTTGCATGCTCACTTGATATGACTGCATCCTTATCTTGATGTCTTGGAACCCCTGGCCCCCATCTTCCCCTTTCTATTTCTCTCTCTCTTTGTCTTACTATTTCTCTCTCTCTCTCTTGTCTGCCTGCTCTTTGTATCTCTCTTCTCTCTCTCTCTCTCTCTCTCTCTCTCTCTCTCTCTCTCTCTCTCTCTCTCTCTCTCTCTCTCTCTCTCTCCCCCTCCCTGCCTCTCATCTCTGTTCTCCCTCTCTTGTCTACCTGCTCCCCTGGCCACCACGAACAGCCTGCGTATCGTCAACTCCTACGGCAATTTCGGGAGCGTGACAAAGACGAGGGGAGAGGTGGTCCTCAAGGGCACCCGGCACTCCAACCCTCTCGACCCGATGGCGGAGTGGAAAGAATACGGCAAGTGCCTCGATGACCTTTGACAGGCACCTGGCGTTGAATAGACCGGCCTCTATCTTTTTTTGGGGGGGCGGTACAGACTCATGCAATTTGGTTCTTTTCGTGCGTGGTGGTATACAAAAAAATATCAGAACAAGTGACTCGTTTTCTGGAATAGATTGTGTGGATTTCGCCGGCTTATCTTGCGGCGTTCTTCGCGCGGAACGCGCAGCCCGCAGGCATCACACGCCACCGCCAAAACGGGGTGCGGCTGAGTTGGGAGACCGGCGGCGGCTGCGGACCTCTCGGCGGCCTACGTAGTGCCTTCTCGAGTTGTATGTTGTAGGAGAAAAAGAGAAGAGTTGTTGACCGTTCGGCCGGTCGATCCGCACGGGGAAGAGCGTTGTCCCGTCATCAACGAACGTGTTGTAAGCCCTTGTCAGGCCTTCTATCCCGAAAGCCCCTCGATTTCCGTGCTCGGGCTTGGTCTGTTTTGTGCCCACGACCAACCTTGCATCGCCACTGCTGGTAAGGTACATTGCACCTCTGAGCTCGGGTTTGACGTAGGCTAGGTAGGTCGACAGGGTAGAAAAATCATCGTGCGCAGCTGACAACAGCCGACGTGTGATTTAGAAGAGGTAGGAGTGAAGATGTAAGCCTGTGGTATAGAGTAATGAAACACGCTATTGTAGGACCAATAAAATTTACGCCAAGCCAACGATGCTCCTGCTGCTGTCGATGTCCTGGTGTTGCTATGTACGTCTACATCGACAGGCTTCAGGTGCAAACCTGGGGATGTTGACCGGCGGCCGTGCGTAATCAGCCCGCTCCACTACCGCCTTGACTGGGTGAGAAGGAGAACACGCGTGCTGTTGTCCGTAGAAGGGGTCCTTTAAGGCCGTCTCGCTCCGAAAACGCCGTTAGCATGGTAGAAACCCGCAGTCCGCATCGCCCGCGCCAGACTTGTGGTGCAGTCTTGGGGGGAAAGTGGGGCATGACGGCCGTTCCGTTGCACCACGCGAACGTAGAAGTGACGAACTTGTGTGCAACTCTGGTGGCGGCACGCGTGTAGGTGGAGCTCGGCATGCCCGCTAATCTGCCCCCGGTCACTACGAAAGCATCACGTTATAAAATAACTCGGGGGAGTGCACATACTACGCAACACCCCCGCCCGAAAAAACAGTGAGGATCATAGACAATCACTGCGCCCTTTTGGGACTATGCAATACGCTCCCCTTCACCAGTCACTTATCCTTCCCCCTCCCCCCTCCCGTCCTCTCTCGCTCGTCCGATTTCTCTGTGTTTGCGCTGGTGGCTGCTGGATTTTGGACGGCATGAATTGAAAAAAAAAAAAACGTGGACGACGTTTCTTAATCTTTTCTCGCGAAACATAGCAAGTGTGGTTCGCGGCTTTCCAGACCTACAGGCACAACCCGTGGCTGGTGAACCTCGTGTCGAAGCTCTTGAGCAGAAAAGACGAGACCAGGACTCTCGTGGGATCGCTGCTGGACTACGACCCGTTCGCTGACGATTCGGGGATCGATGGCGAAGACGGCGGTGGCGGGCGTCCTCTGTTCATCAAGGCGGATCTCTACCTGTACGAGTGAGTCATTTGGCTCGGTTGGCTGCTGCTGCTGCTGCTGCTGCTGCTGCTGCTGCTGCTCTCGCGTTGTGGTGCTGCTTCTTCGCTTCAGGTCCCCACCTTGTCTCTGCGGGTAGTGTGAGTTGCGCGCTGTGGTCGGCGGCGGAAGCGGCGGCGATCACTCTTCTCCGGTGTATGTTGTCGTTTTGTTTCGCCGCCGGTTCTTGTTGCGAACCTAGTTCTTCGGCATGATACACGAGGAGTGGGGGCAGGGCTTTTGTACGACAGGAATGACGACACCACGATATTACTGTCGCATCGATGATTCGAGTGAGTCCCCCCCCCTGCACCGAGATCATGCGTTATTTTCCGAGCTCCTCCCGTCCCAACAGATTGATACAAATTTCACACCTTCCCCACACAAGCCTGGTATACATGTGTTTGATAGCGTTCCTCCCATATTTTGGCGGAATACTACGTGCCGCATACGGACCCCCCTCCTGCGCGTCCTCTCGAGGACGCGCGGTCTAACCGCTAAGGCATGCAAAACATGATTCCAACCCCCCACCCCCCCACCCCCAAAAATAACAGGTTCACCCCCCCGCGGGGCTGGTTTGCCGGCACGCCCGCCTCGACGACGCCAGAGGCCCAAGAAAGGACCGGCGGCCACGAAGACGGGAACGGAGACCAACAAACGACTCCAGCTAGGGAGACAACCTCATCATCATCGTCATCGTCATCATCATCATCATCATCGTCATCTTCCGCGAACTTGGGCGGCGGCGGTGGCGGCGGCGGCGACGACGATGGGCGAGAGACGGGCGCGTGGTGGACTCGCCGCTTCGTGCGGGAGTACCTGCCGCCGGTTGGGCCGGATAACCCCTCGCTGCGGCAGTTCCTGGCGCAGCACGGCTTGGCGTAGTAGAAGTATGGACGCATCGCGGATTGCTAGCAGTGGCCTCTTGTGTCTCGTTGTTACTGCTGGGTTGAACTGGGGTGGGGAAAGCTTGTCGGGTTTTGTTCTCTGTCTTGTCTTTTTGGTGCTGATCGGCATGTGATGGTATGCTGTTGTTGTATCTATCTGTCCTTTTCTTGCTTACGGTAGTCTTGTGCAGCCTTTTGGTGTTGATGCTTCTCGTTGCTATGTTTGGCCATAGCACATGGCCATGTAAGTACTGTTTATGGGGATCGGCCCGCGTGGAGGGAAAAAATGCCTCTTCCCGAAAAGACGATGGATGGGTGTCCCAACCCAGTGGGCCTGAAAGCCGTGTGTGTGTGTGCTGGCTGACGGACATGGGTTCTTTCGCACCCCCCCCCCCATCGGACTCAGGCGTTACCCTCCACCTGCCCACCTCACGCTCTGTAAGGGGCCGTACACGGTTCGGCGTAGGGCAACGCGATGCAGAACACCGGGCTGTTGCGCTGGGTCTGGGTCGAAGAATAACGATGCGTGGCACGCCCCTTTCCCTCTCCACCGCAATGGGAGAATGCGGCAGGATGTTTTCGATTCTTTCCGAACCACGTTTGATCGAACTTGTCCGGCTGTGGTGCTGTGCTGATCGAGTTTCGGCGTCGGTGCGCAAGGTGCGTGGAGAGTGCAGGGCGTACATGGGCCATCAGGGATAGCGGTTTTTAGGGCGGCGGGCGAGTTCATCAAGCACCGTTGCGCCAACCGTAGCGGAGGGGGGATGACGGTGTAGGCCTGTGATGCTGTTTGTCTACTCTTTTCCACACCGATTTTTCGGTCGCTGCTATCTTTGCGCGCGCCCTAACTCCGGTAGCGTTCGTGTGTACAAGTGTAAGTGGTACCCCAATCGTGTGTAAATGCCGCCTGCAGCGCGCGGTAGCTTGTAGGTACGAGGTGTTGTTGTCTTGGCGTATTTACCCTCTGTTTCATAGTTTTCACAAGAGGTGTTCTCGGCATGCTCTAGACACGCCGGATAGCCGGTGTCTCAATCAAGGGCTGGCGATCCACTAGACGGAGGAGAGTATCGCAAACACCCGTGATTCGATCGAGAGAACTTCCTCGGACTCGAAGTTGGCGAAGTTACCGAGGTTGGTATCGGGAGATCGGTACCATCGTAGAGGCGGGCGGCGAGCTTGTCTCTTTTGTCGGGCTTTCTGCCATTGCGTTGGGTCGTTCCTCAAGCAACCCCAGCCGCTTGCATTGAAGAGAGGTTGTTTTGTCTCTCGGTGCTCTTAAGCTTATCGTATCTGGCGTGGTATGCTTGCTCTAACCTTGGTCGATTGGTCGCTCTTTTAGGATTTTGGTTTTCACGCATCTGAAGTGTCACGGGATTTACACGCCAGCGGAAAGCTCTATTCGTTGCTTCGGATTCGTTTTCGTGGATATTGTATGATAGGTCTCGCGACCGTTGACAAGTCCGATCGGTTCAGACGCAAGATGGAGCCACAGATAAGAATACAGACCCGACGTAAGCTAAAACTTGCGCCGCTCTTGATGGAACGCCGCCGGACCTTCGGTCTATGCTGTTGCTACTTGGTCGATAGTGAACGAGTACTGTGATGCCACAACATCAGCGACTAAGAGCATTTATTTCGGGTAAACACATGGAGCTCCGTCTTCCGATACAGAAGCCAAGATATATATTAACGCCAGCAGGCGGGTATACTACTAGGCAGACCTCCGAAAGCACACGCGCCCGCATCGTTTCCCGGGCGATCGCTGCTTGCGGCCGGAGCGGTGCTCGCATTTTCTTCTCTCCCTCTCTGTTGGTTTCTGTCGTACCCAAGACCTACGATACTCGACTTTACTCCAACCGAAGAAAAAGAGCCCCCCGCGCAATGTCTGCCCGCGACCGCACCCTTCACTGCTATCCTTGACTATGAACAACGGCGACAACTATTGGGCCTAACCCTATCCCTTGGAGTAGACGGCCACCTTCCCTTCCACCGTCACGTGGCGGAGCCCCCCGGTCTTTAACCGCTGCTTCAGGGCACGCCTCAGCGTCTGGTCGTCCGGCTGGTGCTCCTTGCTGCTGCCGCTGCTGCTGCCCTCCGTGCCTCTTGCCACCAACACCGCCGCCGCCGCCTGCTTGACAAGTTCCTTCACCGCTATCCTCTTGCCCTGAGCCTGGTGGAAATTGAGACAGAACAGTTGAGGTAGAGAGGGTTGGGAATAAAAAAACATGAAGATACCAAGCGGAAAAAAAAACGGCAACAAGGAGGAAGGCTGGCCAATCGGGGCGCAACTATTCAGAATACTACAAGCCACCCGCAGTTTTTCAAACCATCGTTCTTAGCGCACCCGCGTGTAGAGACGTCGTTTACACCCACCCAGCAATCAATACTGGCTGCAGAGAAGAGAGGGTGACGAATTTCAACACGGTAGCGATGTCCTTGCTGCCGACCAACTTGCTGCTGGCGGTAAACATTGATGAACTCAAGCCAAGATTCGGGACACGATGGGTAGGTACACGGCGTGCGCCTTGGTTATCTGAGCGTGTTGAGGTTTGTGGGTGGCTTTGCTGCTGCCGCCATGCACCCGCTGTGTGTCTCGTGACATGACGCTATAGTTTTGGGCGCTTGGTTAGATCAAAACACCACATGAGCCAAAACACCCATAGAAGAGCACAGCCGACTGCCCTTCGTGTGGCATCATCGCCCCCCGCCCACCTTCTTCACAGCGCCGATGGCCGCCTTGGCTAACGCCTTGCGAGTGGCCGCATCTACCCCACCACCGTTTCTCGCACCCTCGGCTTCTTCGCCGGTCGTCGCCTCTTGCGGCTGCTTCTCCTCTTCTGACTGCTTTCCTCGCGGTCTCTTTTCACCGCCACCGCTACCGTTATCGCTGCCGTCTGCAGTCCCCCCGTTCCCCGTATCCGCCGCCTCTTCTCTCGTTCGCTTTTTGCTCTTTTTCTCTGTGGCGATGGTGATAGCGGTCACGCGTGCAGGAAGAGAAACAGGAGGGAGGAAGGGGGGGAGGGAGGTTGGGTGCAAACGCACACAGGTTGTCGGCACGAGTTCGCACCACTTACGCGCGGCGTAAGGCTGGTCCGTGATAATTGCATGCTTGAAAGATTGGGCGGGGTGCCATCGGCATGAGAGTTGTGGATTCTGTGGGATCGATATCAAAATCCCTGGGGAATAAAGGGATTGGTATTGTCGAAATACGCTGTGTTTCCAACAACATTTACACACAAAAATCGCGATGCTAAATGTTAATGTTTCTCACACAACCACCAGCGTACCGCCATGTACTCTACCCTACTACACGCCAAAACACAAGATTCTTGGGGAGTTTCCCGGAGGTTTTTACGTGAACCGTGACCCCCATCCCCGTCCCACTATAATGCCCGACAGAAAGAGTCTGCTCCTGCTCCTCCTCTACACAAACGTTTCTGCCGGCCCGCCTATTGTACACAACCGTTGCTGTCCGTGTCAAACAAGATATACCTTTCTTGGACGATTTTCGTGCGGGTTCTGTTGTCGCGGCTGTCTTCTCCTTAGGCTCTTCGGCCACAGCCGTTACTTGGGCCACGGCCGCCGCTGCCGGCGTCGCCGTCGCCTCCTTCTCTTTTGCCGTCAGGTCGTTCTTGACGCCGTCAACGTAGGCCCACAGCTTGGAGACGCTGGTCTCGTCGAACACACGAAGGCTGTTCTTTACGAAGTTCTGTTTCGTCACCACCATCGAAAAAAAACACATCCGCAGAGCAAGCACGTGTCAAGAGAAAAATTCCGAGCGGCCAACGGCAACCGGTGTACACACACAGCGAGTGCTAGAGGATGAACAGCACACGCACACGCAAGACTGACGAATTTTCTAGCGTCAGCCGGTTACCGAGGTCGATGCCAATCAAAGAAACACGTCAAAGTAATACGACACATTGACACACGTAAATACCTGCGGGCGCACACGTGCGTACAATGAACCGCGTGATTATTATCAGCCATGTATATGCACACGCAGAACACTGCAAACTGTGCAAAATACCGCGCGCGAAGTTTCATGACTCCTACTGCTGCTGCTACTGTTGTCCTTCCGCACCTTGAATTTCTTCTCCTGGCGCGGCACGTTGCCGAGGTCTCCCATGCGAACCAGGTGGGCGCACAGCGGCTTGGGAGCAACACCGGAAGAGGCGTTGCTCGCGGCAAGCAGGACAGAATCGGCCCAGATCTCGTTCACTCCGCGATTCTTCTGCTTGGCCTGTTGGCACACGTGCGCATGCACCCGGGGTGGCGGGGGGGGGGTAGCGAACTAGAGTGAGGAAGTGGGCCCAGCATGCAGAATACACAGCAGTGCACCCGGGTCTCCCTCGTCTTCAGTTCGGTGGCTTGCGAAGGGCAAACGAGTACCACTACTACTTTCGAAGCACGCGAATGGGCTTCGCAAGAGAATGCGTTTGGTTGCGGTACGAATGCTGTCTTTCGCCCCGGTGAGGTAAACACAACCAACGTGAAGAGGGAATCGTCCTCGACAGACGTTGGGGAGATTGTACCTTTATGAAGGTGATCTCCACGTTATCCCCCCCTTTCTCGAGACTTCTTCTTGTTTGCTAGGCAAGACGAGCCTTCTAGGGGTAACCGGAACCCAACCGGCTGGCGGCAGGGCGATTCGCTTTTCTTCACAATCCTCTGTGCGTGATTCCACGGGTTCGCTACGTCCGCCACGTCATCAGAAGTTCCGAGTTCGATAGCCAGTGCGTCCTTCCTTGGCCCACCCACCGTTTTTCTTTTTCCGTTGTCCGGAAGAAAAATTGGTGAGCAGCGGGTTTTGAACCCGTGTCTTTTGCAACCTTGACATCTCACGTCGACGCCATTGTGAAAAGAGGGAATCGTCCTCGACAGACGTTGGGGAGATTGTACCTTCATGAAGGTCGTCTCCACGCCAATCGCCACTGCACGCCCACACCGCACAGCGCTGACTACTCCTTGTGCCCTGTCTCGTGTACCGATGTACCAAATATACCGCCCGGGCTAGATTGGCATGCCATTGTTTCCAGTAGGCGGTGGGAATATACGCTGAGGTAACGCGTGAATACCCGCGAGACGTGGAGCCACCTTCACACACATGCGGTAGGTCAGTCTGCGGTGATGCTGTGGAATTGTAATGCCATACATGCGTATCGGATGGGTTGTTGCGTTTCGCACCTTTGGAGCCTTGAACAAAGCGCCTTGGTACTTCTGGTCCTCGGACACGCAAGAGGTGTGCTGCAAAAGGACAGCGAGAGCGCAGCAGTCAGTAGTTATCGGGACCAAGATTGTTGCACGCACGGCCGACAGGGGGACACAAGATCAATCACGTACGGCAGACTCTGCTTTCTCTCGGACCAACAGGGAGCCTCTCAGGCTACGTACTTGCCACCTTAACCCCTTTGGGTCTAGGCTGGACTGTCAGATTTTTTTTTTTGCGCCAACTTGGCGCCAAAAAAAAAAAATGAGAGCGAGAGCGAGCGGGAGAGAGAGAAGTGCAGAGAAAGAGACCAGTGTACTTCTGCACACGCAACAGCTATCTCCACCTGTAGGCCATGAGAGAAGCCGGCGACAGGGTGGTGGCCACAGACAGGGTCGTACAAGGGTTGGTGGGTGGTCGCGCTGCGGTCAGTAGGGCAGGTTAGCTGTGTAGCCTTTGAAATGATCAGTCGTCTAGCTGCCTCAACTAGTCTATTTTCGGTATATTGTAAATGATCAGTCCAGAGAGGGCAAAATGATCAGTGAAGACCCATAGCTGGTATTTGTACTTCTGTACTTCTCTGTTCTCTGTCCCCCCCCGAAATGTGCCCTGCCAACTCTCTAGAGCTCCTGTGTTTTTCAAACAACAAGCACATCCACCAGCACACACCTGTACCTCGTGGTTTCCTAGGTTCGGGCGAGGGTGGTATGTGTGGCGCTACGAGTGTGGATGTGTTGCTGATATGTTTTACTCGTCTACAGCAGTAGTAGTAGTGTTGTTGTAGCGTTCGTTGTAGCTGTTGACACAATGACTGCTGGATCTTGGGAACGATTTTCAAATTGTTGGGAACCACGATATCCTCGATATCTGGGCTTCGGCAGGGACTGCAATACCCCTCCCTTTTGCTGTCCTCTGCTCTTTGCAGCAGTGGCTTCCTACGTTCGGGCGAGTGTATGTGTGGTGCTTCGAAAGAACACATATATGTATGTATGTATGTATGTACTGTATGCACACACGCGTTCATTGACATGTGCATACGTTGAGAGATTCATGATTTGGCATTGATTGGCCCCATTCCCATTCCCGAGACCTTGATGTTACCCGCTGTCACTGAAGTCTCTTCATTGGTCAGCCGGTTAGCGTGGATGCTAATAACCTAGACACACCTACCCTATGGACTTGCCAATACACGGCGCGAAGGGCTGCAGGGCGGCAACTCCACGACTTGCCACTACACCAGCATTTGCAAATGATCAATCAATGATCAGTGAGAACGCCTGAAGACTCAAAAGGGTTAAGGATATGGACGACTTTCTTGTCTAGAAGAGTGCAGGTAGTTGGGTATCTGTCTGTCCGTGCATCGACCATTTCCCCATGAGGACCCTCTTGCACTATGTAGCTTCAACGCTACCTGACGCGTCTCTCTCTCTCTCTCTCTCTCTGTCTCTCGTTCTCTGTGTCTCGCCCTCACCCCCCCCCCACGCGGCCCTTACCGCCCTGAACGAATCGCCTTCGAAGGTGAAGTTGCAGTCCACGCAAGTCACGCCCCAGCAACTCTTGCACGAGTAGAGGTGCCTGTCGACCTGCGCCTTTTTCAGCGTCTGAGGCACAGCAGTACGCCAAAGGTTGCCGAGGATACGCAAAACGCAGTGGGCAGGGAAGCGGACCAGCACTGAGTTTTCGGTACGACTACATGTACACAGCACACAGCACATCATATCCAACTCGGATAACCAACCATACCATGAAGGCACGTCTCACGGACACCAGATAAGTCAGCTTGAGTGTTCACGCGCGGCGGGCTACGAAACAAGAAGCTCCTCTCGCTGCCGCCCTCGCTGTCCTGCTGTGTACCGGACCTTCCTCGCCACACACACACACCTCATTGCACGACTCGCACACAAAGTACACCATCTCGTCCGCGAGTAGCTCGGCCCTGAGAAGAGGCGGTGGAAGAATTAGCAGTCGTGGCAGCGGAAGGGGCCAGAGACTTGCCCACTGCGGTAGAAGAGAGGAGCTCGATGCTTTTGCGGATGGACAGCAGACAGCACTAGTGTCGGAGTGTCGGTCGGCTCACATGCGGCGGAACATGCTCGAAGAAGAAAGCCTCCAACAGTCCCGTGAGAGACAGAGAGAGCACGCAGCATGCTGCATGCAGTAAGCAGACTAGAAACAATAAGAGCAGCACCCGCAAGCACTCACCCAACCCGAAGGATCTCTGTCCTCCTTTCCCCCCTGTAGAGTGCCCAGCGGTCACTGACCGCAATGATTCTCGCGAGAAGGTGTAGAGCCACTGCTGCTGTTGCCAGCAGGAGAGCTGGTGCCCTCAAAACCAGGCGAGTGTCTACTTCAACCACCAGCAGCAGCAGCAGCAGCAACCTACCTCATCATCATGCTCCGGCCTGTGCGGTAGGCACTACTGCTCTCGCGGACCACGCAGAGCCCATCGCCTCGCGTAACCACGGATGGCAGGCTGCGCTGGCTCTTGCCGCTGCCACCGCTGCTGCTACGGCCGGTGCCGCAGCGTCCTTTGGGTGCGACAACAACAACAGCGGTCCCCGAACTGCTAGCAACGCGGCGGCTCTAAAGCAAGACAGCAAGAGCAACGGCGTATCATCCTGGTCAGTCGAGGAAACGAAGACATTCATCGCGGCTCTGGGCGAGGCCGTGGGTGAAGAGCACGTGTCGACAGACGAGGACGAGTGAGTGCGCACCCCTGCTTTGTTTTGTATTCTAGCGGGACTCCCTATTTACCCACGTGTGTTGTTAGAAAGTAAACATTGTGTGTTTCGTTCGCACACGACAATTAGACCAACCGTAAGAGGCGGAGCGATGGCACCCGATTACATTCAAAGCTCGACTGACCCACAACCAACACCAAAAATGGTGGTTTTGGAAACATCTCGTCGAGGGCTTTCCGTGGATGTATCGGGCTCTTTCCGCACCCTTGGTTGTGGAGCAATCAATCGAGCTTGGAAAGTCGGTCTATTGTAGGCAGGGTGCCATTTCTCCCCCCCCTTGCGGTACGGTACATCCGTTTAGTCTTGAATAGTTTGCCCCACCATTTTTTCTGTTCACTCTTGAACTTCGGAACAACCTCCCGTACCTCGAGAGGAGCGTGCCAGGGTGCGGTGGGGGAGTTCTTGACAAGGTTAGTGTCGGACAGCAGTATTCCTCCGTACGATGTCTCTCCGCCAACGTTCAAACAGGCACACACATTTCCCTCTTATGAAAGTCCAACTCCAGCAATGTAGGGGCATCAACGCACGGGCTCAGCAAAGAAGCTTAAACGGGTGGATTTCCTGCGACGGCAGAGCCTATTCATAGCACGGGCTAGGGGTCTTCATACATGGGCTAGTCAGGCTTGGGGCTAATATGTGGCTGCACATTTGTAGCCGTAAACCGGTTCGGCCTCACGGTGAAAGTTGGACGCGTACATCCGCGAATGCGAACTGCTGTAGTTCTCACAAGCATACGTGTCCTAACTCCTACACATTGCTCTGAGTCGCCCGCCCGTCGAGCACCAACATGCCCGCCCGCCCCCCCCCCCCCTCCTCTCTTCCGAATGCCCCTGGCTGCGCTTTCTCGCGGTGTTCTTGTTTCTTTTCCGCTATTGTACAGCTGCCACGACCACGGCACCCCGAAGTGGTCGCACCACCGCTGCGTTCGCATGCCCGACGTCGTCGTCAGCCCCGCCACCACACAGGAGGTAATGCTGTACATTGCACGCTTCCTTTCTCCTTGCTGTGTTGTGCTGTCCCTCCCCCCTGTATTTCGTCCTATTTTCTCTCTGGTTTTGACAACGGTTTGTACCTCTCAAGAATTGCAGCTGAATGTCGTTGTATGGTATTTTTCTCTGGGGTTTGACGACGATTTTCGACAACGATTTGTGCCTCTCAGAGTTGCAGCTGAATGTCGTCGTATGTATTGGTATGGCTTAACACTCGCTAGCTGTGGGACTTGTTCTAGCTGCAGGTCCAAGGTCGTAAAATGGTTTCAGGAGAAAGGTTGTGGAGGAGTAAGCGCCTCTAGCGGTAACCTATGCGGGGCGCTCGTATGCACTCTTGGTATACCTTTCATTTCCTTGTTGGACGGACTGTTCATCCGAAACGACGGGACCAGTGGACCAGGCAGGTGATCAGACCATCGTCTTACACGAACAAACGTGCCGAAAACCGGTTTGAACTCCATGCAGGGCGGTACCACAGCAACTCCGCTTAAGTAAATGAAACTGTCATCGAGTGAAGATTACGGGAACTTCCCGTGCGAAGCAAGTTTCGAGTGGCGAGTAAACCTTGTGTTGCTTTGAAGTGGGGCCGACTGACTGTTCGTGGTCCACTCGGTAAGAAGTGTGTCCACGGCTCAGAGACGAGATACGACCATAGGGCAGCGGGTTTCGTCGACCTCTGCAGGCGTGTTGGTCGTGAGGAAAGGTGCGGGAGATTACCGGCGGTTCTGACGAAAAACGGCTGCTTGTACCACCAAAGCCACTCTTCGACAGGCCGTTGACACGGCCTACTCTCCATCAACAATCCACCCAATAACTCGGCCCACCAATCGGCCAATGTATCAGCAATTGGAGTCTATAGACCGACCGGTGAGCGCCAGCACACCAAGTGACCGATCAGAGTTCGAACGACCCAAAGCGAGCCGGAGGGAACTAATCGAACCATCGCACGGAGCCGATGGCACCCATCCGACGCACCATCCCACCGAGCTACATTCACACCGATGCCGCTAGACCGAATCAAGCCATACCGTCGTCGAGCCAAAACCTTCTGTCGTCCGATGCGCGTGCGGACTGCCTGCCATAACCCGGTGGAAACAGGTGGTGGCGGTAGTGAAGACCTGCTCGAAGATGCAGGTCCCGATGATCCCGTACGGCGGAGCCACGTCCATCGAGGTGAGAGCGGTCTCATTTTACCGCGACCAGGCTTAGAGCTGTCCAATCCCGGCACGTTCCCCGTGAGTACGTTTGACTTTATTTCTCGGATGTTGCAGGAAAGAATTTCGTCCGTGTGTTTTTGTCATGGGGAGGTGGAGGGTAGTGCCATGGTGTACTCTAACAAAAATTTATGGGAAAATATTCTCCTTAAACTAACAGGCATGGTTCGTATGATGACCCTGTTGTCGTGTTGCATCTCACCCTAGAGAGTTGTTTGGGGTTGAACCAATTCGTTTTTTTTGTGTTATGGTGTTGTTTGTGTTCATTGCGGGACCCTGCCATGCACACGGTTACCGTTACAGACGCAGGGTTGATGGTTCCTGGTTCTTCAGGATGACGGCAGTAGATAAGAAACGGATAGCAAACCCTGACGTGAAGAAGTTGTAGCCCTCCCTGCGATGCGCAGTGTCCAGTGCGTGCGGTAGTCTGTTTGGTTCAGCCAACAGCCTGTTGATGGTCGTTGGAGCCAATTTTGGTGTGAAAGGTATTTTTTTTGCAGTTTTTGCGCGCCCTTCCTTGCACACCGTTTGCGCGGCTTTCGACGCAAGCACTGCCTCTCGCACTCTGGCCACAGCGTAATCAGACCAGAGAGAAAAAAAGAGACAAAAAAAACGAAAGAAGATGAAAATGGAAAGGAAGACGGGCATAACAGATATAACCCGAATTTGGAACTGTCGTTTAAAACGAAGACAGAATCATGGAAGTGAACAAATCAGATTGGATGAGAACATGAGCGCGGACGTTTGACATGAAAACGAACAGGGTCATCTTCTCGCCCCCTTGGGGGGGTGCAGCATCGACTTCAGCCGCATGAACGCCGTGAAACGTCTTTCGAAGGAGGATCATGACGTCACCGTGCAGCCTGGGCTCGGTGAGTGGCGGAGAAAGAGCGGGCGGGAGTCATGAGAGTCATGATGCATCCATCTGGGAGGGAAGGAAAGAGGGGGAGGGGTATACTTGTAGCCGTGCATGCCGTAGTCGTTCGATCATTGACCTCGCATCCCTACCAAGCCAGGACGGAGCACCCCGGGTTCTCACCGAACCAGGCTCTCACATCACCGAGCGCGAAGGGGGGAAGGGGAGGGGGGGAAACGTCAGTGACAACACCGGCTGAAGTAGGTTCATGAAGCCACCCCCCCAACTGCTGCAGTTGAACTTATGGGTCCCGTGACCTAGGTGGGGAGGGGTTATTCTTGAATTAGTGAGTGAGCGGGGTGGTCGGGGGAGACAGGGTGAGAGTCGGGTTGGGAACACGGCGCATGCACCGTCGGGTCGGAAAATCTGGACGCTCTATTTTTTCCGTCTGGAAGTTTTTTGTTGGGCATGACCCGCTTTCATTTCTGCTGCTACTGCTACTGCCGCAGCCGCCGCGCGTACCAGTCGCGAGGGTCGCTTGCTCACGACGTCTCAAAAACATGTTGACATGCGACTCGATGTCATCGCACCCTCATTGTCTGTGTCTCTCTCTCAATCCAAGTGGCGTCGACCGCGCTGTGCACAACCAGCTGACCATTGAAATTTCGTCAAGAAAGCTACAAGAAAGAGACCATGCCTTGTGTGTGCGCGCACACGTGCTTGTTTTCATTGTTCTTTCTGTTACTTTTTTCCCGCAGGGTACCTGGAGCTGAACGAGATGCTCAAGGAGCACGGGATGTGGTTTCCCCTCGACCCAGGGCCGGGTGCGTCTCTCGGAGGCATGTGTTCTTGCAGCTGTTCGGGCTCCACCGCCGTTCGGTATGTACTGTACTTGCTTATCGCCCTCTCTCGAAGCACCTTGCGGGGCACGCACGCACAACAGTAGATTTAGGTTTTTCTTTTTTTCGCCCTTCCGTCCTGTACTGTGAAAGGAGACGAACTTGTGAGTAGCGCCGCGGACGGGGGAGGTAGAACCAGCCTCTCGCGTTCATGGCGACAAACAGGAGTAGATTTTCAAGGCCATCCAGGTTGTAAAAGTAGTCACTGATGCTGTAAAGAGCCCACACTGCCCGATTTTTTTTGTGCCTCCCTCCGCCGCCGTCTGTCGCGGGAACCGGGACAGCTACGGCACGATGAAGGACAACGTCTTGAGCATGACGGTGGTCCTGGCGGACGGTCAGGAGGTGAAGACGTCTAGCAGGGCCAAGAAGAGCTCGGCCGGGTACGACCTGACGCGGCTGTTTGTGGGCAGCGAGGGCACCCTCGGTGAGACGATGGGGAAAGAGGGGGATATCGCGTTAGAGAGGGGGGTATATGCGAAGTATGCTGTGAACGAACGAAAAAGTGACATACACCGGGAGACGGAGGAGGGAGATACATCCATAGAGGCAAGCAGACAGATCACACGCAGGAGCTTGTACGTATGAGGTGCAGCACCAAGTGCACAACCGCCCATCGACCACCGCTCTGTTCAAATCAATCGCCACTACAACAACACTCGCCATCGCCACGGCCGCCAAAACGTCGCTTGTTGTGCTTCGCTCCTGTGGTCGTTGCGCAGGGATCATCACGGAGGTGACTCTGAAGATCCACAAGATCCCGGCATACTCCAACTCGGTGCGAGTTTCGTTCGACTCGATCGACGCGGCGGCTAAGACGGTGCAAGACACTCTCGCGGTGAGGCATGTTTTATTTTTTGTAATGTACGCACACTAGAGGTAGGGAATTTTAGCTCAGGCTGAGGGCGCACCGCAGGCCTCGCAGCGGCCCCTCCGAGAGAAGCGGCGGGATTGCGCCTACTCTCAACTCGGTACGATAGCGTCGAATCGCGGACCGCGACGCAGGGGCCGCCGCTCGCCCTCCTTCTCCGCGGAGACCGCGGGACGCCCTCTCTCAGCGAGCTGCCCGCGCCGGCGGGACGGGTCAAAACCACGTCGTCGCACCTGTGTCTCCACCTCGGACCCCTCCGCTCGGGACTGTAAAGAACAAGCGATCTTACTGGACGGAACTGTCTTCGGGGTATTTTTGGGAACTTGAAGTTATCACAAAACTCGGAACATGTCTATAATGAATGTAGCAACCACATATGCATAGCCCGCACATGTCTGCTTACTACGAAATGGTACGTAAGCGCTTTATGCACCATCCATCATGTTCCCATCGTGTGCTAGGGACTGCTGTGCAACACTGCTAACTTGCAATATGTACGTGCGACCGCGCGGGCAAGCATCTCATCTCTACCAAAAATGTCAAAGGAACGGCAACTTGCAGGATATTCCGAGAATAATTTCTTCCGGAAATAAATGAGAAGACGGAAGACGGCAACTGGCTCTCGGAACTCGGAGCACGTATCACATGCATTTTGCTCATGTCTCTCATCAGTTCTGTGTGCTGGATCTCTCTGCTGTAGTCGGGAGGACGACACGGTGTGTGTATGTGTGCGAAACGATGACTGCTGTATGTTGCTGTAGTCTCACGGCTAAAATAGCTACATGGTACATGCCACACTTGCACACACACAGACAGACAGGTGCACACACATACAGCAGGGTGTGCGCCACAAGCTTCAACCTTTGTTCAACAATTGTCAATTTGTTTCAGAGAAGCCGGTAGCCTAAGTGTATACGGAGAGCATGAGAGCATGATGACGCACGCTTCTCTCGACGTCGAACCTGCGTCTATCGTTCTTTTGCTGTAACGAACACCCGTCCCACTTGGTACGTGTTTCAAATTTGTAAAAAACTGCATTGTAGCTCACCTCATCACCGAAATAGGTTATACCGTTCGTTGGTATGCGCATCGACTCTCAAACGGGGTACGAGGGGGGCGGTACCCCCCCGCGTCCCCGACCCCCTTGTATTTTATATTTTTGTTTCAACATTATTGTTTTTTTTAGTAGGGTTTGATGGGTTGCTTGATTAGTATTTTTTTTTTTTTTTGTAATCCGGGGGGGGGGGGGGGGGGGGAGTCATGGTTACGTCCGTGGATAGGTTTTATCACACACGGTTCTGATGTTGCTGGTAGACAGGCGTGGTCGGCCTTTGTTGTTCTACATGTGCAACGACGGATATGCTTTCAACAGCAAAATGCTTTTACATTCAAAATCGGCCGTTTTCGATATATATTCCATGTGTGTCGAAGTGTTGTCATTCTTATGTTCCTCTTCGTGCTCATGTTTTTTTCTTCTCTTACGTGTCACTCAGGCGGGGATCCAGATCGGTCGCGCCGAGCTCCTGGACGATACCATGGTGCAGGTGCTCAACAAGGCCAACAACACCAGGCACCGGGAAGCTACCACCCTCCTGTTCGAGCTGTCGGTGAGGGAGTGGGAGTGGAGAAGCCGGTTTCACGGCCGTTTGTCGCTCTCGTGAGTTACCCAGCCGGTGGTAGGATCCGACGACGTGGCACTGTTAGACCGACCACCCCAAAGCGACCCGACGGGTTCAGCGAACAATGGAAATCATCGACGTGCCGATCGAGAGACAGAATGACCAACCCCCCCCCCCCCCCCCCCCCCTCCTGGCTCTCTTCTAGCGC